GAATGTGATCTCACAGGGGAGGACTTGACATCCCAGGGATGATATGAAATCAGAGGAGAGATGTGATATCACAGGAAGGATGTGATGTCACAGGGGAGCTGTGATGTCATGGGGAGGATGTGATGTCATGGGGAGGTGTGATGTCATAGGTCTGGTGTGATGTCATAGGGGAGGATGTGATGTCACCAGAAGGATGTGATGTGACAGAAAGGTTGTGATGTCAGAGGGGAGATATGATGTCACAGGAAGGATGTGATGTCATATGATGGATGTGATATCATAGGGGATATGCGATGTCACAGGAAAGGTGTGTTTCATGGGGGAGGTGTGATGTCACAGGTGAGCTCGGGATGTCCCAGGGATGATATGAGATTAGAGGAGAGATGTGATGTCACAGGAAGGGTGTGATGTCACAGGGGAGCTGTGATGTCATGGGTAGGTGTGATGTTGTGGGGGTGTGATGTCACAGGAGAGGACATGATGTCATCAGACGGATGTGATGTCATCAGAAGGATGTGATGTCATATGATGGATATGACATCATAGGAGATATGTGATGTCACACCTATCCTGTGATACCATCAAATCCCTGTGATGTCATGTCCTCCCCCATGACATCACATCATCCCTGTGACACTACATGTCCCCTATGACATCACATCTCCCCATGACATCACAGCTCACCTGTGACATCACATCCTTGCTGTGACATCACACCTCCCTTGTGATATCACATCTCCCTTTTGACATCACACCTCCCTTGTGATATCACATCCTTGTTGTCACATCAAGGCTCCTCTATGACATCACATCCATCATATGACATCACAGCTCCCCTATGACATCACATCCAGTGACATCCAGATCCATCCCAAGGTTGGGTGTGTGTGTGAGACAGGCAGAAGCACAAATGCCTGCACAGCCCAGAGCAGTCAGTGTGGTGCTGGGCTTGCTGCTGCAGAGACCCCCAGGGAACAAACCCAGGGAGGAGTTTGGGGGGGTGTCCCTAAGGAGGACACTTGCCTTATTATTGCTTATTATTTGTAATATCTTATAGATCTATCATACAACACCTAAGGATAGATTCCATGGAATATGTGCCACAGATATTTGTGTTGGGTCTGGCTGAGCTGCAGTTCAGTTCCCCACAGCAGCCCTCCCAGGGCTGGGCTTGGCATTGGCAGCTGGAAGGGTGTTGAGAACACACCCGTGTTTTGGCCACTGCTGAGCACAGCACCAACACTGGGACATTCCTTCCTTAGCTTTGTCCCCTGTCCTGCTGGGAAGGGGAGTGATAGAGCAGCTGGGAGGGCACTTGGTGTCCAGTCAAGGTCAACCCACCACACACCTGAACACTTCCAGAGACTCCACCACCTCCCTGGGCTACTTGTGCCAACGTCTGAAAACTCTCTCAGTGGAAAAAGGGTTTTTGAATATCTAATATTAACCTTGCCCAAAGCGATTTAAGGCCATTCCCTCACAACCTTTCATTATAGCCTTGACAGAAAACACCAACCCTCACCCCACTAAAACCTCCTTTCAGGTCATTGGAGAGAGCAATGAGGTCCCCCCTGAGCATCCCCTTCTCCAGGTTCAACAAGTCCAATTCCCTCAGCCGTCCCTCAGCAGACATGTTTTCCAGAGCCTTCCCCAGCTCCATTCCCTTCTCTGGACACGCTCCAGCCCCTCAAGGGCCTTTTTGCACTCAGGGGCCAGAACTGGACACAGCACTCGAGGTGGGGCCTCAGCAGTGCCCAACACAGAGGGGCAATCAGTTCTCTGCTCCTGCTGGCCACACTCTTCTCCACAAAGGCCACGATGCCCTTGGCCTTCTTGCCCCCCTGGGCACACTCTGCCTCATATCCAGCCCCTGTCAAGCAGCACCCCCAAGTCCCTTCCTGCTGAGCAGCTCTCCAGCCCCTCTGCCCCCAGCCTGGAGCGTTCCAGGGGGTTGTTGGGACCCAAGGTCAGGCCCTGACACTTGGCCTTATTGATCCAGCTTGTCCAGATCCCAGAGCTGGAGGCAGCTCTGCAGGTGGGGCAGCATTACAACCATGGATGTTCCAGCAAGGACATGGTAGAACCTCATGGAATTAAGGACCATTGTGACACTGCAGGGTCTTCTGGAGCCAAAGGAGCCCTGGGACACTGGGCAATCTCATGGAATCAAGGGAGCACTGTCACCCTGGGAAAACTTTTGGATATCAGGGCCCATTGTGACACTGCAGGTCCCCATGGAACAAAAGGAACCCTGGGACACTGCGGAAACTCATGGAACCAAGGGACCATTGTGACATTGAGGGGGCTGATGGAATCAGGAGTCCATTGGAACAATCCAGGCCCTCATGAAATCAAAGGAATTCTGGGACACTGTTGAACCTCCTGGAACCAAGGGGTCCTGCTGACATGTGTGTCCTCCTGGAACCAAAGGAGCCCTGAGATATTTCTGAACCTCCCAGAATCCAGGGGCCATTGGGACCCTGCAGAACCTCCTGGATTCAAGTGGTCCTTGTGAAACTGCAGGATCTCCTGGAACCCAAGGATTCCTGGAACACTGCAGAGCTCACGGAACCAAGGGGCCACTGTCCCACTGCAGCTACTTCTGAAGCACAAGGGACCCCGGGACAATGGGAAATCTCCGAGAATCCAAAGGGCATTTTGGGACTGCAGGGCCTCATGGAACTAAAGGAACCTTTGGACACTGTGGAAGTTCATGGAATCAAGGAGCCATTGTGACATGTGGGGCCTCCTGGAACCAAAGGAACCCTGACAATTTTTATGGGAACAAGTTAAGGCAGCAGCAGTTGCATTCAGTTAATCGGGATCAACAAGGAGTGTTTTGCCCTTGACTGGTGTTTTCCATCCAGAGAGTGCTGTTTGCCAAAGTGGAAACGCTCTGCATGGTAGCCTGTGTTTTTCTCTGGTGGCTGAACACAGCCAGCACATGAGGGGAGGGGAATGTGTGGGATCAGGGCACTGCTTTGGTGCCATGCTGGGAATTCTGGTGGACTAAAAGAGAAAGACCGGGTGCTGCTCAAGAGAGAAGAGGAATAAAAGGGGACACTGAAAAGTGTTGGCAAACAAGTCCCACAATGGAACTCTGTGTGTGCAGCCTCATTTTCTCCTTCACCACCCAAAGGAGAGGGGGCAAAAAGTGGGGGTTGGGACTCCAAAACTGTTCAGGGGGGAAACTGGGGATTGAGGGGACAATGGGAAAGTGGAAGGAATAGGGAGAAGGGTGGAAAACGGGGTGGTCTGGAAGGTCTGACGGTCCCATGGGGCTCTTTGGGAACAGGGACACTGGCAAAGGGAGTGGCCCCCCTGAGCTCTCAACTTCCTGTGGGGTGCTGGGGGCTGCTGGATCCAATCTCAGCCTTGGATCATGCCAACACTTTCAGTTTAGAGGAATTACAGAGCTGTGACTGAACCACTTTTGTCCCCCAGCTTTTAATGATGGTAAATCAGATTTATTAATAGTAATGAATTTATTTAGGGATACAAATGATCAGACAAAACATCTTCATCAGAATTATTTACTGCACAATACAAACACTAAAACTACCAGGAGTACAGAATAGGATAGGACAGTGCTCTACACTAAAACAATTGTTGAAGCAATTCTACTCAAGCTGGCACAAAAGCAAGAATTCTTAATTAGAGATGGATGGAACTCCCCCAGACCAACACTTGTAGGGAGATCTCTGCTCTCAACCTCCAGCAGTGACCTTGGGGGGGTCCCCAGCCAAGGCAGGAATCTCCACACACCCCCCAAGAAGGGTTCTGTTGGCAGAACCTGCCCCTGGGAAAGGGGACTGGCCCTTTGTGATAGAAAGGGATGGACTGACAGTCACTGGACTCCAGGGGTTGCCTCATCATCAGGGGCTTCATTTGGGGTGGAAGCAGCAGATGAAGCTCTTCCCACACTCGAGGCTTCTCTTACCGGTGGGTCCGTTGGTGTCTGGTCAAGTCAGACCTGTGGGTGAAGCTCTTCCCACACTCCCCACACTTGTAGGGCCTCTCTCCGGTGTGGATGCGCCGGTGGATGACGAGGTTGCCGTTCTGCTTGAAGCCCTTCCCGCAGTCGGTGCAGCGGAAGGGCCTCTCATCCGTGTGCGTTCGCTCATGCAGGAGGAGATTCCCGCTGGTTTGAAACCTCTTCCCACATTCCAAGCACTTGTAAGGCCGTTCCCCGGTGTGGATGTGCTGGTGGTTGTGGAGAGTGGAGCTCTGTCTAAAACTCTTCCCACATTCCCAACACGTGTAAGGTCGTTCTCCAGTGTGGATGCACTGGTGTTGCATCAGGCTGGAACTCGTGATGAAGCTCTTCCCACATTCCCCACACGTGTAGGGGTGTTCATCAGTGTGCATGCGTTGGTGGGTCAGGAGGTGGCAGCTCTTCCTGAAGCTCTTCCCACATTCCCCACATGTGTAGGGACATTCTCCAGTGTGGATGTGCTGGTGGATACGGAGGGTTGAGCTATGGCTGAAGCTCTTCCCACATTCCCTACAAGAATAAGGCCGTTCCCCAGTGTGAATGCGCTGGTGGGTGCGGAGGTTGGAGCTGAAGTTGAAGCTCTTCCCACATTCCCCACACGTGTAGGGACGTTCCCCAGTGTGGATGGGCTGGTGTCGGAGCAGGTTTGAGCTCTGCCTGAAGCTCTTCCCACATTCCAAGCACCTGAAGGGCTTCTCTCTGCTTGGAGGCTGCTCAGGGACCACCAGTTCAGAGCTCCGCCTCAAGCTCCGGCCGCCTTCCCGGCACAGGCTGGGTCTTTCCTCCTCAGAGCACCCTGGGCTGGCTTTGGAGCCCCTCCTGTGGGGGGATCTCCGGACCTTTTCCTCCCCGCTGCCTTCCTGCACCGTGGAGCCCTTCAAAACGGCCTCTCCCACCAGCTTCTCACAGGGGGATTTGTCCTCCGGGCTCTCCGTCCTCAGCTCGGGGCCTGGGGCAGGAAGCAAGAAGGACAGGGAGGGGATTTGCCTCCGGCCCACAGGGAAGGCCAAGGACATCCCCCCAACTCCGGCCCCGGCAGGACGGCGGCGGCAGCAGGGTTGTCCTGCAGCCGGGGGCCATGCTCGGCTGCCAGAGCCAGCACAACACCCGCCCAAAGGGCCACTGACTTCCTCCTCACCTGCCTGGGGGGCCCAAGGCATCTTCCTCTTCCTCGCAGCCTCCTCCTCCATCCGCCCAAGCTTTGGGAAGGACAAATCCTGATGGGGGAGAAAACAAGGGCTGAGTGTGTTGGCTTGGGGGTTCCTCCTGCCCAAGTCCATCTCTAGAGCTCACCGGGCATCCTGTGTCCATAAAAACCTCCAAAACACCAAGATTCAGCCCAGAAAAACCCAAACAACCAAGATTCAGTTAAAAAACTCTCAGAAATAGCAAGAAGTCCGCCACCCTCCAAAAGTTGAAATTCAGCCAAAAAATACTCCAAAATATGAGGATAAACCCAAAAAATCTCTCCCAGAACTTCCCCCTCTCTGGTCTCTCCCCGCTGGGGTTTGGAGGGTCTCCCCTCTCTGCAATGCTGGGGGTCCCACTTAGGGATGTTGGGAGTGTTGGGGGTCCCAAGGGTCCCTTCTCTTCTGACTCTCGCCTTCGGGGTGCCGCATTCCCAGACATTCCCCCTCTCCAGGTTCTCCACTTTGTTGTCCCAGAGATCCCAGGGGTCCCCACTGTCCAGGCTTCCCCTTCTCTGCGCTCCCCATTTCAGGCTCCCGGGGGTCCCGGGGCTCCTCCCTCTCCGTGCTCCCCCCTCCAGGTTGCCGGGGGTCCCCCAGCTCCGGCATCGCCCCGCTCCGCCCTCCACACTCGGCACCTCCCGGGCTCCACACCCACCCCTGGCACTCCCAGAGTGGCCCCAAAACCGCTGTGTCCCCCCCGCCGGCACCGGGTTGACAATGGAGCTGGCGGGGCCTGACCCAGCAACACCAACCCCCACTGCGGGGGAGAGCCACATCCCACTGCCAGGGCTCTGCCGCCAACCCAGCCCGGCACCCCCAAAAAACACTTCCCGCCCACCCCCAAGAGCCCCCAAGGGCACAGCCGGCCCTTGTGCAGGGCTGTGCCCAAGGCAACAAAACAGCCCCACAGGCAGGGGGACACCAGAAGCTGCCCCCGGCCCTGGGCAGCTCTGCTGCCACAGGCTGTGCCCTCACCGTGGCCCTGCAATGGCCCTGCCTGTCCCTCACCCGTGGCCCTGCAATGGCCCTGTCCCTTGGCTCTCTCCCTGCCAGCTGAGTGTGGGGCACACGAGCTGGGGGTCCCTCCCGTGCCCCCCAGGCAGCCAGCGTTGGCTGGGGGGATGTGAGGGCTGGGCCTGCTCAGCACAGCCCCGGCCTCGTGCCCAGCGCCTCTTTCCTGCCCCACACAAGAGCTTCCCGGCCCCCCCAGGGCTCCCCTGCTGCTGCCTCTGCTCCTGGCCCTGCCTTTGCTGCTCCCTTGCCTGGGCCAGCGGCTGCAGGGGGGGGATGGCAGCAGCTTCAGCTCCACGGCACTTCCTGGGGGGAGCTCAGCCTGGGGGGGACGGGCAGGGACCTGATGGGGATGGACAGGGGCCCAGCAGGGACAGCCAGGGCCTGCAGGGGAAGGCACAGGGACAACCTGGACCCCCACACTGCCAGGGCTGTCTCTGCTCCTCCTTGCAGGCTCCGTGGCCAGGCACATTTGGTGTTCCTGGGTGCCACCATCTCAGCACTTGGAGCCGCTCAAATCAGTGCCCGCAGCTCTGCAGCAAAGCCCCAGCTCACCTGGCACACAGGGGATGGACACAGCACCTTCTCAGGGCTGGGCACTCACAGCTTTTCCCTCTTCCCCACCACAGGGCTCTCCTTCCGCAGCACCACCTCTGCCTTGCACTTATTCTCAGCCTCACCTCAGGGACAGCTCTGGGCTCACCTCCGCGCCACTTCTCAGCCTCACCTCAGGGCCTGGGCTCAAGGACAGGAACCTGCACGGAGGGGACATGATGTGCAAGCTGAGGGCTGCCTGCTTGCACTGGCCTCTGGGCTTCTTTCTCCTTCTACAACCAGCCCAGAACTTAGCCTGCTTTTCTAACACCACACATTTACAGACTAACCTTGGAGATATATATGGACAGACATCTCTATCACCCTGGGGATAGAGCCTCAAGCAGGTGCTGCCATAGGAATGGCAATCAGAGACTCACAGAATCAGCCACATTGGAAAAGACCTCCCAAATCATCAAGTCCAACCCTGGATCCAACCCCGCCGTGCTTCCCAGACCATGGCACTGAGGCCACATCCACTCTCACCTTCAACACCTCCAGGGACGCTGACTCCACCCCCTCCCTGCCCAGCTCAGTCCAAGGTCTGATTACTCTCTCGGCAAAAAATTGCTTCCTAATATCCAACCTAAACCTCCCCTGGCACAGCTCAAGACCCAGCCCTCTTGTCCTACTGCTGCTTCCTGGCACAAGAGCCCCACCCCCACCTGGCTACAACCTCCTGGCAGGGAGCTGCAGAGAGTCAGGAGGTCTCCCCTGAGCCTCCTCTTCTCCAGCCTCAACAGCCCCAGCTCCCTCAGCCTCTCCTCACACCATTTGTGCTCCACTCCCTTCCCCAGCCTCGCTGCTCTTCTCTGCACCTGCTCCAGCCCCTCCAGGGCCTTCCTCAACTCAGGGGCCCAGAGCTGGACACAGCACTCCAGGGGTGGCCTCACCAGCGCTCAGTCCAGCCCAACAATCACTTCCCTGCTCCTGCTGCCACACTCTTCCTCAGCCCTCTTGGCCACACTCTGCCTCCTCTTCAGCTTCCTGTCCATCCACACTCCCAGCTCCCTTTCTGCCTGGCTGCTCTCCAGCCACTCTGGCCCCAGCCCGGGGGGCTGACGGGGCTTCTTGTGGCCAAAGGGCAGGACCCGGCCCTTGGCCTGCTTGAACCTCAGCCCCTTGCAATCAGCCCATGGATCCAGCTTGGCCAGGTCCCTCTGCAGAGCCCTCCTGCCTTCCAACACATCAACACACCCCCAGCTTGGTGTCACCTGCAATTTGCTGATGAAATGCCTGGTTCTGCAGCAGCTGCAGATGCTCAAGGGGCAGCAGGAACAAGTCAGGGGCCGGGGGGGCCTGGGGGGCTTTGGGGTCCGGGAGGGTCCTGGGGGAGCTGGGGAGGGGCTTTGGGGATTGGGGGTATAGACTAGGACAGACCAGCACAGACCAGTACCTCCTCACTGCTCCCCAGATCTCTCCTGGAGCTGGGCCACGTTGTCATGGGACACCTGAGCCCCCCCCAGTGCCCTCCCAGTACAGCCCAGTGCCCCCAGTACAGCCCACTGTGTTCCTGCCCCAGGGAGCTGGGTGATCCCTCTTTGGGGGGGGTTGGAAGGGATTTGAGGGGGGGGCTGAGAGAGATTTAGG